GCAACCGAACAAAGGCAACGGCTGTGGCGATGCCGCTGGCCAGGCCCAGGATGTAACCCCAGAAGATCTGAACCAGCGTAACCTGAATATGGTCGAGGAGGCGCGCATTCTCATGAAGAAACACCAGGCGCTGCGCCACGTCGACCGGCCCGGGAAGCAGGAAATCCGGAACTCCGAACAGATGAACCGCAGCCAGCCAGACGAGCCCAATGGCGGCCAGTCCGGCCAGACCGCGGGTCAGCATGGGTCAGCCTCCGATTGTCCTGGGATCTTCGACGACGAAATCGGCGGCGTTCGGAGCCGCCTCGATCACTCCATATTCGGCCAGGATGTCTGCATTGGTCTGCCACGCCCCGATGTCTGCGACACCCAGCCCTTTCTCATCGGTCAGGTCGCTGCGCCAGACCGAGGCGGCAAAGGTCTGTTCGAATGCGATGACAAGAGCCGGCTTCTGGTCGATCCAAGTCGGTGTGTAGTTCTGCATGGTGATGTCAAGAGCGGCCTCGATGTTGCCGTCCATCGTCCATTCATAGGATTGAGTGACAGCTTCGGTGAAGCGCCGGACAAGGTCGGGATTGTCTTCCAACAGGGCGGCGCTGGTCACAACGACATTGCCGAAGGACGGCAAAAAATCGTTCGACAGGACCATGTTGACGTCAACGCCATCGCCTTCCAGCACATATTTGCGCAGTTCGGAGAACACGATCGCGTCCACCTGGTCCGATTGCAGGGCCTGAACGATCGCACCGGTATCGATCAGCTCGACATTGACGTCATCCAGCGACAGGTCCGACTGGGACAGACCAACCTGCAGCTGCAGGTAATTCGGGCTGCCATAGCTGGTCACGGCTACCGACTTGTCCTTCAGGTCGGCGTAGGATTCGATCCCCGATTCGGCCTTCGCAAGCATGGCGCCGATGCCGCGCTGATAGGTCGTGTGAACAACGCGGACAGGCAGCCCGTTGGCGGCGGCGGCGATTACCGCATCGCCGTTCGGAAAGCCGAAATCGACGTTGCCGGCGGCGATGTTCGTCAGAATGTCCGAGGCACCGGCATAGATGAACTCGACCTCCATGCCGCGGTCGGCGAAGAAGCCGTTTTCGACACCGGCATAGAGCGGCGCGTAGAAGGGAACCGCAGCCCCGTCGATCTGCAAGACCACCTTGTCCTGCGCAAGTGCCGGTGCCGCGGAGAGCAGGGCAACGGCTGTGATAGCGGATAGATATCTCATGATGGATCCTTTCTGTCGAGGTTGTGCAGGGCAAGCCCCGCGATGGGCAGCAAGTTGCGCTGCGTGGCTTCGTACTCGTCCAGCCATGCGTCCGTGACGCGGTTGCCATGCGCGCCCAAAAGTGCTCCGGCCGAAAGACCCAGGCGAGCGCTGACTGCAAGAACCGTCTCGGTCTCCATCTCGACACCGAGCGCGCCCTGATCGCGGAACCGGCAAAGCTGTTCGCCGCCGCCAGTTGTTCGGTCGCCGGCGACGGGCCGATCCTGGCCGAAGTAGTAGCTGTCGGTGGAGGCAACCGGACCGCGCCGCGCCGGCATGCCAAGTGTGGCGGCAGCATCGCTCAACGCGTCGGCCATGCCCGGCGCCGCGATTGCGGGGTTGCCATAGAGCGTGGCGACCGCGGTCGCACCCAGGGCCTTCGTGACGCAGAGGTAGCTGCCCGGTTCGATATCGCGCACCAGCGCGGACATGCCGCCAATCCGGATCACGCGCCGTACGCCGAGGCGCGCAAGTTCGACCAGCGCAATTTCGGTCGAGGGGCCGCCGATCCCCGACGAACACAGCGTCAGCGGGCGACCGCGATAGGTGCCCGTGACGATGGAAAATTCGCGTCGCCGGCCGAAGTCGGCGACATCGTCCATCATTTTTGCGAGCAACGGTACTCGGTCTGGATCGCCCGGCAGCAGCACGTCCTCGGCGACATCGCCGGGACCACATGGCAGATGTGGCGGACGACCGCCACGCCACGGCAATCGAGCGGACGCGCTATCGTTCATCAGCGAGGTTCCAGTACAACAGTCGCGTTTCGGCCAGGCCGAGGAACGCGTGGAGGGCGATGCCCAAAAGCGCCGTCAGCAAAACGGCACCGAACAGAAGCGGAGTCTTGTAGGTCGCGGCCGAAAAGGTCATCAGGAAGCCCAGCCCCCGATCGCCCGACATCCATTCGGCCAGAATTGCGCCGACCAGCGCCTGGACGCCGCCGATCTTCAGACCAACGAAGATGCCCGGCATGGCCGCGTGCAGATCGATCCGCCAAAAGCGCTCATTCGCCCCCAGCCGCAGGAGCCTGGCAATATCGTGCAGACGGCTGTCGATGCTGCGAAAGCCGGCCAACGCACCGATCAAGACCGGAAAGAACACGAGCGAAAAAACCAACGCCAGCTTGGCGGTCAGCCCCAGCCCGAACCAGACGACGAACAGCGGCGCCAACGCGATCTTTGGCGCGGTCTGCATCACGACCAACGGGCCGTCGAGCAGCGTTGACAGGAGCGGAACTCGATAGAGCAGATAAGCCAAGGCGACGCCGGTCAGGGCGCCGATGACGAGGCCCAGAAGAATGTTCTGCAGCGTGTAGCGAAGGTGACCGAGCAGACTGCCGTTGAGAGCCTCATCGGCCAGCGCCTCCATCGTGGATTGCGGCGAGGGCAGCAGATAATGGGGCATCCCCATGGGGCCGCTCGCGTACCACCACGCCAGCAGCAGGAGCAAAAAGGCGAAGCAGTATTCGACGATTGGCCGCAGGTGCGTCACGGCCGGATCCTTCCGCCACGCAAATCCCGCCGGAGCGCGGCGACCAGTTCGTGATAGTCGCGGTCGAGCTTTGTTGCTTCGTTCCGCGGCCGCGCCAGCGCCACTTCGTAGGTCTTGACCAGCCGACCGGGATGCGCGGACAGAACCATGACCTCGTCGGCCAGATAGGCCGCCTCCTCAACCGAATGCGTTACCAGCACCACGGTCTTGCCGGTTCGTTCCCAGATGCGCAGCAACTCGTCGTTGAGCGTCTCTCGGGTCAAAAGGTCGACCGCAGAGAACGGCTCGTCCATCAAAAGGATCGGGGGATCCTCGGCCAAAGCCCTTGCAATCGCCGCCCTTTGCTTCATGCCGCCCGACAATTGGCGCGGCAGCGCCTTGGCGAAGCCTGACAGGCCCGTCAGCTCCAACAGTTCGCGGACTTTGGCATCGGCCAGGGCTCGCTTCGTGCCGCCGGTGTCGAGCGGGAACCGAACATTGGCTTCGACGGTCTTCCACGGCAGCAGCACCGCATCTTGAAAGACGAAGCCAACCGGGCGCCTGACCCGACCGGCTTCGATCTCGATCGATCCGGACGACGGTTTTTCCAATCCCGCAATCAGGCGCAAAAGCGTGGATTTGCCACAACCGGATGGGCCAACGACGGCAACGAACCGGCCGGCTGCGACGTCGTGGCTCAGCGTGTCGAGCGCCGTGACCGTCTCGCTGCCGAGATCGAATTCCTTGCTGATGCCGTCAATGCTGATCACGTCCCGCCCTCAGTCGCCATCACCGACTGCTGCAACGCCAAACCGGCTTGTCGCACATCTCAGTGTTTGTCTCAATTTTGATACTTGGAATCAATTTTGATTGATGTCAATTTTTTGCCTGGATGCGATTGCCTGCACGTTACGGATTCGGCGGCGCAATATGCTGCCGTCCCTCGGCACAAAACGCCGCCAACACCTGGAGCGACCGGCGGTACGGCCGTTCTTGGGTACTTGTCCGACTTTGGTCGCGGTCGGGAAACCGAAGCTTACAAGGCGATACGCCGCGCTAACCTGACCGCCCGCGTCAGGGCTTCAGGCTTCCGGGCGGGGCATGTGGCTGGCGTGCCAGGCATGCGGCGCCGGTAACGACGAGACCGATGGAGCGCTGTCGTGCTCGACTGGGCGATTTAAAGGATGCGCGCCGTCGGTCACTCGTCTATGGCGTACCGGTCGATCGCATCACGCAGATAGGCAGCCGCATCAGCCGACTTCAATGCCGAATGCCACAATCGCGCGGCGATGTCCTCATGCAGCGCCACCGCTTCGTGCGCCGCGGTGATCAACGCCACCCCGAGCCGCACATTAGGCTGTTCGCCCAGCCGAAAAGGGCTGATGGCCAGCGTCGGGCGGCTTTCCTGCCGAAAGATCTGGAAGCTTGTCGCCGGGACCGGTTCACGCACGATGCCGACCTGAATGCCAATGGGCTGATCTTCCAGCAGAGCGATTATGTTCTCGGCCTCTTGCCTTGCGGCCCGGCGCCGCGCCTGTGTGAGGCGATCAGGCAGGTCATGACGACCCGCCAGCCCGTGAAGGAGAAACCGCTCCAGGTCGGCCGATGAGATAAGGCTGACGATCAGCGGCCGGCGCCGCTGAAACGTTTCCTTGCGCGCCCGCAGCAGTGCCATCAGCGCTTCGACAGTCCGAGCATTGCTGCCATCTGGATCGTCGGGAACCGACTCGATCAGCACCTCGCGCAGCATGTCGTCGTAGGCATCCGATGTGAGCAGATAGGAAATCGGGCTGAACTGCCCGATGATCTGTTCACAGCGCTCCTCCAACTGGCGCATCCGTTCAAAGAATCCGATCGCCGTGCCGACATATTCGACACCCACCCCCATAAGGTTGGCAAGCGACACCCCAAGTTCATTGGCAATCGCGGTCAGCATGTCGATCTTCCGGATCTCGCCCTTTTCCGCGCGATAAAGCGCGGCGCGCGAAATCCCGAGCTTGTTCGACAATTGCTGCGGGGAAAGTCCATTGCCCAGCCGATGGGCGCGAAGCCGTTCACCGATTTCGCTGAAGTCGGTGTTCTGATGGTCCGTCATGCTGCTTCAATATCCCGCAATTCGATTTCATTTCGGCGCAGCGACCTTGTCTTGTCAACGATCTCAAAAATGGCATTTCATCTATTTTTTGAGATTGTTCATTGACAGTGTCCGCGACCCCGCCTAGCGTTCGCGGAGTGACAAAACGAGCCCTGAGGAAAACACATGCACACCCTGTTTCGGAAACTGGCCGCGTCAGCGGTTGCCATTTCCTGCGGTTTCGCCACAGCCGGTGCCGCCTTCGCCGCCGACTATGTCGCAAAAATCGGCCATCTGGAATCGACGCAGCAGTCCCGCCACATCCACCTCGAAAAGGTCGCCGAACTGGTTCGGGAGCGCACGGGCGGTGCAGTCGAGTTCCAGATCTTCCCGCAGGGTCAGCTCGGCCAACAACGCGAGATGACGGAGGGCGTTCAGCTCGGCACACTCGAGGCGACCGTTGCCCCGGCCGCCTTCCTTGGCGGCTTCAATCCCGCCGTTTCGGTCCTCGACATCCCTTTCCTTCTGCCCAATGACGACGAGGCCGCCCAGCAGATCCGTGGCGGGCCGTTCGGCGAAGAGCTGTGCGACAGTTTCACCGCGCGCGGTGTGATCTGCGTCGGCCTTTGGCCGAATGGACGCAAGAATTTCACCTCCAACAAGATGATCGACTCGATAGAGGCGTTCGAGGGCCAGAAATTCCGCGTCATGGATTCCAACATCCTGATCGAGCAGTTCAACGCGCTTGGAGCCTCGGCGATAGCACTGCCCTTCGGCGAACTGTACACCGCGCTTCAGACGGGCGTCGTCGACGGCCAGGAAAATCCGCTCGACACCATTCTGAAGATGAAATTCCATGAGGTGCAGGACTATCTGGTTGTCTCCAATCACGGGGCGATGGAGGATGTGATCCTCTTCAACCCAGCCTTCTGGGAAAGCCTGCCCGAGGAACACCGTGCCGAAATTGTCGGCGCCTTCAACGAGGTCATTCCGGATCTGATCGCGCACAAGGCCGCGGCGGTCGAGGCCGCCTTCGAGGAAATCCACCAGGGCGACATCGAGGTCTTCGAACTGAGCGACGAGCAGAAGGCCGCCTACCGTGAGGTGATGTATCCGGCCGCGCGTGCCGCCTTTATCGAGCGGGCCGGCGCCGAGGGCGAAGCTCTCATCGCAGTCTATGAAGAGCAATACGCAGCCGCCCAGCAATAAGCCGAAACCTCCCAGGGCGTCCGCGAGCAACGGGCGCCCGAATTTTCTCTTGCCGGCACTCGAGGACGTTCAATGCAGACGGCGTTGACCCTATTGCGCACCATGGAACGCAGCGCGGTCGTGACCATCTTCCTTGCGATGGTCGCGCTTTATGCGGTGAACGTACTTGTTCGCCAGTTCGGTGGTACGCTGGCTTCCGATCTTGCGTGGATCGAGGAAGCGGTTCGTCTGATGAACCTGTTCCTCGTCTTCTTCGCCGTTGGGCTGGCGCTCGAGCGGGGGCGCCATGTCGGCATCCACTCCTGGCGCGACCGCATCGCCCGCGCCACGGGCCTCCCCCTGCGCGGACTGATCGATGCGATCGGTCTTGTTTTTTGCCTCTATCTGGCCTGGCTGGGCCTGACCATGACCCAGTTTGTCTATTCGATGGGCCAACGCAGCCCGACGCTGAACCTGCCCGTTTTCTGGATCTACCTTGCGCCGTGCATCGGCTTCCTGCTCATGGCGCTGCGCTACTTGCTGTCGCTGGTCGGCGTCATCGACCGTTATGCCAACCAGCCGGCCGGTGACACATGATCCTGCTTGGACTCGTCATCTTTGCTGCGATCGCACTGCTGATCCTGGGCTTCGAGATGTTCCTCGTGCTGGGCATACCGGCACTGATGGTCAAGCAGTTCTTCTACGGCGCGGTGCCCGACCAGGTGGTTGTGCAAAAGGTGCTCGGCGGCATCAACCACACGACGCTGCTGGCCATTCCATTTTTCATCCTGGCGGCCGAATTGATGAGCGACGGACAGATCGCCCGTCGCCTGACCAACTTCGTCAAGGCGTTGTTGGGTCACTCACGCGGCGGCATGGGCTACACAACGATCGGTGGCTCGATGGCCTTCGGTTCGGTGTCTGGATCGGCACCGGCAACCGTCGCTGCCATGGGCCGGATGGTCTATCCCGAACTCCGCCAGGCGCGCTTTTCGGACAAGTTCTCGCTCGGCCTGATCGTCTCCAGCGCAGAGACCGCACTGCTGATCCCGCCCTCCATCACCCTGATCATCTATGGCTGGATGACCGGCACGTCGGTGGCGAAACTCTTTGTTGGCGGGCTGGCGGTCGGGCTGGTCCTCGGGATGGCATTCGCCGCAATGGTCGCCATCGAGGCGCGACGGGCGAAGATAGACGCAGGCCCGACCACATCCCTGCGCGCCAAGACACGCGCGCTGGCCGACGCCGCCTGGGCGCTTGGAATGCCGGTGATCATTCTGGGCGGCATCTATTCGGGTTTCTTCACGCCGACCGAAGCTGCGGCGATCTCGGTGGTCTATGCCATTGCCGTTGAGGCCTTCATCTTCCGCAGCCTGACATTCCGCAAGCTCGTGCTTATCACCGAGCGCGCGGCAATCTCGACTGCGGTGATCTTCATCCTGCTCGCGCTTGGCGGCCTTTTGGCCTACTTCGTCACGCTGGCCCAGCTCCCTGCGGCCATCATCGGATTCATGGAGCAGATCGATGCCGGCCCAGTGCTGTTCCTGCTGATGGTGAACGTGATGTTTCTGATAGCCGGGATGTTCATCGACCCGAACTCGGCGCTGTTGATCCTTGTGCCGCCGCTCTACCCGGTGGCGATGGCGCTGGGCATCGACCCGGTGCATTTCGGTTTGATCGTCACGCTCAACATCTCCATCGGCATGATCACTCCGCCTTTCGGGCTCGACATCTTTGTTGCCTCTTCGACGCTGTCGAAGTCGGTGCTGACCATATTCGCTGGCGTGTGGCCGTTCGTCGTGGCCAACATCATCGTGCTCGGGGTGATCACCTATGTGCCGGCGATCTCCACCTTTCTGCCCAATCTGGTGTTCGGATGATGCGCAACTCGCTCACCAGCGAACCGGCGAACGAAAATGTCGGAACCGTACCGCCACCGGTGGCGTATGAGCGCAACCTTTCGGTCAAATCCAACAGTGCGGTCAACGGAGAATACCAGAACCTGGTGCTGGATGCCCCGCGCGACCTGCTCGAACGCTGTCGCGCGGGCCAGTTCTTTCATCTTCTTTGTCCGGCGACCGAACTGGACGCGCCCTATCTACGCAGGCCGATGAGCATCTACGGCTTCTTCCCCGAAAAGGGTGAACTGCAATTCCTCTACAAGGTCACAGGCAGCGGCACGCGCGCGCTTTCGACACTTCGTTCCGGCCACACATTGAACGTGCTTGGCCCGTTGGGCGTACCGTTCACGATCCCCCACAAGGCGGAACGCCTGTTGCTGGTCGCACGCGGCGTCGGACTTGCCACACTGGCGCCTTTGGCACTTGAGGCGAGGCGACTGGGCCGGCACCTGACCGCGATTTGCAGCGCACGCAATCCCGGCCTTCTGATGTCGCTCGAGTATTTTGAGTCGCTCGGAGCGGACGTCATCCCTGTCACCGACGCGGAGAACACGTCGGACCCCTCCAACTTGGAACGCATCATTGAAGCCTTGATCGCTGGACCCGGCGTGGACGCGCTATACACGTGCGGCTCCAACAGGCTCCTTAAACTCATACAGCATCTGGGCGAGCGGCACGCTATCCCTGGCGAAATCGCGCTCGAACAGCAAATGGCCTGCGGCCTGGGCATGTGCCATTGCTGCGTGCGGGCGTTTCGTCGCGATGGAGAGATCGTCAACTTGCGCGTCTGTCGCGAGGGGCCGGTGTTCGACATCCAGGAGGCGCTGGCATGGTAGATCTCAGCGTCGACATCGCTGGCCTCGCCCTGAAGAACCCGATCATGCCGGCTTCGGGCACGTTTTCCGAGGAACTCGCCGATGTCATCGACCTCGATTTGCTCGGCGCCCACGTCACCAAGACGATCACGCGAGGCAAGCGCGGTGGCAATCCTACCCCGCGTGTGTGCGAGATTTCCGGCTCGATGCTCAACTCGATTGGCATCCCGAGCAAGGGCGTGGCGCATTTCATCGAGCATGTCGTACCTTTCTACAGGCGCTACCGGGCACCACTCATTGTCAGCATTTCGGGCAACACCGCCGATGAGTTCGCCGCGTTGTGTGCCGATATCACGGTCGACGGCGTCGATGCCATTGAGATCAACATTTCCTGCCCGAACATTGAGGAAGACGGCAAGGCGTTCGCCATCCGGCCGTCGTCGACCTTTGACGTGGTGCGGCGCCTGCGCAAGGCGACCCATCTGCCGCTTTGGGCCAAACTGACGCCCAACACGGGCGAGACCCCCGATGTCGCCCGGGCAGCCCAGGATGGCGGCGCGGACGCGCTGGTGGTCGCCAACACGATCCTGTCCATGGCGATCGACATCAGGACGCGACGGCCCAGGCTCGGCAACCTGATGGGCGGTCTGTCCGGCCCCTCACTCAAGCCGATCGCGTTGCGCATGGCCTATCAGTGCGCCCGGGCGACCTCGATTCCGGTGATCGGTTGCGGCGGCATTTCGACCATGGAGGATGTCGTTGAATACCTGATCGCCGGCGCAAATGCCGTTCAGGTCGGCACGGCGAGCTTCATCAATCCCACCGCCATGGTCACCATTATCGAAGACCTGCGCAGCTACCTGCAAGCTGAGGGGCTGTCATCGGTCCGCGACCTGATTGGGTCGGTGATCGATGATGAGCAGGACGACCGCGTCATCTTCATGCAGGCGGCGCCATGAAACCTGCCCGCGTCATGGCATCCGATGAAGAGACCGAGCTCGAACTGGCAAACCGGCTGTTTGCCGAGATCGCGGCGCTGTCGGCCGATGACAAGGGAGTTAGCCGGCCCGCCTTCTCCGACATCGAAACCCGGACGCTGGCCCATCTGGAGGCCTTTGCCCGTAATGAGGGCCTGTCGGTCTGGTACGATGATGGCGGCAATGCGAAATTTGCCCTGCCCGAGGACGCGGACGCCGGCCGGTACGTCATCGTCGGCTCTCATGTCGATAGCGTGCCGCAGGGCGGCAATTTTGATGGCCTGGCCGGCGTCATGGCCGGACTGATGTGCCTTATCCGCGCGCACAGGGCTGGCGCGCGATTTGCCAGGCCGGTCCACGTTCTGGCCATGCGCGCCGAGGAGAGCCCCTGGTTTGGCCCATGCTACATCGGCTCGAAGATCCTCACAGGGACGCTGCGGGCGGACGAACTTGCTGCCAGGCACAAAGCCGATCACCGTCCCATGTCCAGTCACATGGCCGACCTTGGGCTGCCGGTGGATTGTATCGAGCGCGGTGAGCCGCTCACCGATCTGGCGGCGATAGAGGCCTATATCGAACTGCATATCGAGCAGGGGCCGCTGCTGGTCGGCAAGGACATTCCGGCCGCAGTCGTGAGCGGCATTCGCGGCAATCTGCGCCACCGGGAAGTGTGCTGCAGGGGTGAAGAGGGCCATTCGGGCGCCGTGCCACGCGCCTTTCGAAAGGACCCCGTGCTTGCAATGGCCGACTTGCTCGTGCGGCTTGATGAGAGCTGGTCGACGATTCTGAACATGGGCGACGACCTCGTGCTGACCTCCGGCATGGTCGGCACCGATCCCAAGAGCCACGCCATGACCCGCATCCCGGACGCGGTCACCTTCAGCCTCGACATCCGCAGCCAGAGCGCGGCGACGCTCGATGCGATGCGGGACCTACTGCGCGCGGAGATGCTACAAGTCGAGCGCGAACGAAAGGTGCGTTTCGAACTCGATGCCGAAATGCGCGTCGAGCCGGCCCGATGCGATCCTGAGCTTGTCGAGCGGCTCAAGGCGGCCATGGCCGCGGTCGGCCAGGAACCCTTCGTCATGGCCAGCGGCGGCGGACACGATGCGGCGGTGTTCTCGGCCGCCGGCATTCCGGCCGCAATGGTGTTCGTTCGCAACCGGAACGGGTCGCACAACCCGGCCGAGTCCATGGAGCTTGCTGACTTCGTCGCCGGGACTGACATCGTGCACGCGTTTCTGATGGGAGTTCCTGTATGAAGACGCTGACAATCACGCGGCCAGACGATTGGCACGTACATTTCCGTGACGGTCCGATGATGCACGCAGTCCTGCCCCACACTTCTGCCGATTTCGCGCGGGCGATTGTCATGCCGAACCTTGAGCCCCCGGTCGTCACAAAGGCCGACGCGATCGCCTATCGGACCCGCATTCTGGCTGCACTGCCAAGCGAGCACGATTTCACGCCGCTGATGACGCTGTATCTGACCGAGAGCACCGAACCCGATGACCTGGCCGCCGCGTTCGAGGAGGGCGTTGCCACGGCCGTCAAACTCTATCCGGCCGGCGCAACCACCAACTCGGCCAGCGGCGTGCGCGGCATCGACAAGGTCATGCCGGCACTCGAGCGCATGGCCCGCATCGGCATGCCGCTTTGTGTCCATGGCGAGGTCACCGATTCCGACATCGACATCTTTGACCGGGAGGCCGTGTTCATAGAACGCGTGCTCGATCCGCTGTGCCGGCGGCTGCCCGAACTGCGCGTCGTCATGGAGCACGTTACGACCAAGGACGGCGTCGATTATGTCGCGAGCCAGCCTGAAAACATGGGCGCGACGATCACCACGCATCATCTGATTATCAACCGTAACGCCGTTCTGGCAGGCGGCATCCGGCCCCACTACTATTGCCTTCCTGTCGCCAAGCGCGACAGCCACCGTCTGGCGCTGCGCAACGCGGCGACCTCGGGTGATAAGCGGTTCTTTCTGGGCACGGACTCGGCACCCCATGTCGATGCGGCCAAGCAGACCGCTTGCGGCTGCGCCGGCATCTTCACGGCGCCGAACACGCTTGCATGCCTGGCCCATGTTTTCGAGGAAGAGGGTGCGCTCGATCGGCTCGAGGCGTTCGTTTCATTCAACGGTACCGACTTTTACGGCCTGCCACGCAATCGGACCAAGATCGTGCTCGAGCGCAAGGATACGCCTCTCGCACCTGCCGGGCACATCGAAACCGGCGATGGGACGGTGACCGTCTTCGATCCGATGTTCCCAATTCAGTGGAATGTTGCGCATGCCGCTGGCACCGCGCCGCCATCGTTGGTAGCGAAAGGCACCGCTTAACCGATGGGATTGCCCGATGTTCTCAAATACTTTCCCGGACCGCGCGGTGATCTCCGAGACAGTGGCCAAGATGCTTCTGGAGATCGACGCGGTTCACTTCCGTGCCGACCAGCCTTTCACGTTCACCTCGGGCCTTGCCAGCCCCGTTTATATCGATTGCCGCAAATTGATCTCCTATCCGCGTATCCGTTCGGCAATCATGGATTTCGCCGCCTCCGTGGTCTTGCGCAATGTCGGGTTTGAGCAGTTCGACGCGGTCGTCGGCGGAGAGACAGCCGGCATTCCTTTCGCGGCATGGCTGTCTGACCGGCTTGCCCTGCCCATGCAATATGTACGAAAAAAGCCCAAGGGCTTCGGCCGTGACGCCCAGATTGAAGGTGCATTGGCCGAGGGCGCGCGGGTTCTTCTGGTCGAGGATCTGACCACGGATGGCGGCAGCAAGATCAAGTTCGCAGAAGCCGTCGCGCGAACCGGCGCCAGTGTCACCGATACATTTGCCGTCTTCTATTACGACATCTTTCCGGATACGCCGGCCAAGCTGGAGTCGGCGGGTATGCGGCTGCACTATCTCGCCACCTGGTGGGACATTCTCGAAGTGGCCAGAAAAAGTGATGCCCTTCCACCCGGAACGATCGCCGAGGTTGAGAGCTTCCTCAAAGCGCCGGTGGAGTGGTCGGCAAACCACGGCGGCATCTCTCAACTGCCGAAGTGACGTTAGTTTTGGAGACTGTCATGTTTGAAGATTTGGTCAAAGGTTTGAACGAGGGCGGCGGCAGTGTGCGCGCCTACGAGGCCTGCGCGAAGGAAGCCCGCCAACGCATTGCCAACGAGCCCGACAACGCAGCCGCTTTGATCCTGATCGCGTCCGCCACGCAGCGTTTCGTCGATGCCTATGACGAACTCCCCTTGACAGTTGAGGCAGCCAGTCGCGAATTTGAGGCGATCAGCAGCATTGTTGAAACTCTTGGTGCGGCGTGGGCATCCGGCTCGGCTGAGCGCAAACTGGCTGCGTTGAACTCGGTCGCCGCGCGTCTGGCTCCGCAGAAGGCAGCGTCAGATCGAACGGATCGGGTTGGACTGCGGTAAGATCTGGCCGCCATGAGCAGGCCAACCCCGCCGCGTTGTCAGTCCTGACCCCTTGGCAAACGCGCGGAACGGCCTGTTGGAAGGCTTCATCTGCCAGCTCAGAGACGAGTGTCTCAACGAGCCGATTTTTGCGTGGCTGGAGTTCTGCCGGTTTGATGGACACTTCTTCGATTGTGAAGGAGGGTGTTTTTCTGCCGGGAACGAGGAAACCGTACCCTGCGGAATTCAGGGACCAGATGGTTGCATTGGCGCAAGCAGGGCGCAATGTTGACGCGCTTCCCCCAAAGTCCACCACCCGTCGTTGTGGTGCATCGACTGATGCGACGATCGAATGTCCTGTCTGGGCCGCCATTGCCCAATTGACGGCCCCTCGCTTTGCTCCATCTCCATCAAGCAACGGTCTTGATACGCGGAGGCGTCAGAGCCCAAATGCTGATCCAAATCCCGCGCGCGATTGCGGTCATCTTGCTGAGCGCGACGCCTGCATTGGCCTGGGAGACCAGGCCTGGCCGAGTTTGCGAACTCATTCACGACGGTGAAAACGCTTTCGTCCGCGTGACGTACGATCCCGCGATAGCAGAATACGCAATCGAGGTCAGAACGGTGGAGCCCTGGCCTGGCGGCCCGATCTTTGCCATGCGTTTCGATGGCCCGAAAGGGCTTACCATCACGACAGACCGCCACATTGCCTCGGATGAAGGCCGGTCCCTAACGGTCACTGACAGCGGCTTCGGCAACGTACTAAACGGCCTCGAGTTCAACCACACCGCAACAGCTCTTCTTGGCGACAGGGCCGTTCCTGTTTCACTCGACGGCGCCGCTCCAGCGGTGCGAGAATTTCGTGCATGCACCGCCGGCCTGAACGCCTGAGTGCAGGTTACGGCAGCCTTTGATCGGTGGCCGCTCCCTTAGTCTCTTCGGCGAATTGAAGATGCAGCGGCCTTCTGATGTCTAGCCCTGGCGCCCGTGCGGTTCCAGCGCGGTTACCGAGCCAGAACCTGCACATTCGAACACAGTTCGACAAGAACCACCAATCGGCCAACAGCGAGCGCGCCCGTCGCCCGCTTAGGATCGTCAATTTCGTGCCGTTTCGTTCCGTTTTGTGTTCAACAGGGCCGGTTCTGCATTTCGCAATCTCACGCTTGCCAAGGTTGGGGTCGTGAGTTCGAATCTCATCGCCCGCTCCAAAATTCCAGACCGACACTGACGGTTTTCGGCACGCTGTGCGGCAATGCGCAGGGCGCGGGCATGGCTGTGCCATGCCTTTGGCGAGACCGAAATCCGGCCCGATCATGGCCTTGGCGGCGGCCCCGGCCAGTGCGGCCGATGTCCTCGGCGGCCCGGCGAAGAAACGCGCGCAATCGGCACGGCCACCCATAGCTCTTTCTTAGTGATTCCCAGCTAACCTGACGTGAGGTTTTGGGGAACTCTTGACGATGGACAAACGAGGCGCAGTCGTTCTGGGTGGTGCGCATGGCGCGCTGGCCCTGGCGCGCAGTCTGGGCGCGTCCGGCGTCCCGGTTTCCCATATCAGCAACGATTCCCCCCTCCCCGGCTCGTCGCGCCATGTAAAGCACCAGATCGGCTGGCCCGGGCCGCTCGATGAAGGCGCCATCCCGTTTCTCTTCAAGGCCGCAGAGGACCAGTTCTCCTACGCCGCCCTCTGGGACAATGGAAAGCCGGTGGCCGAGTTCACCGCCCGCCGCACCCGGCAGTATCCGGTCGATTTCGGCTGTAAGAGCACATTCGTCGAGATCGTCGAGGAGCCGGGCGTTGTCGAAGCGGCCCGCACAATCCTCGCATCGATCGGCCACCATGGTCTGGTCGAAGTGGAGTTCAAGCGCGACCAAAGGGATGGTTCGCTCAGGCTGCTGGACGTCATTCCGCGCCCCTGGTCATGGTTCGGCCTGTGCTCGGCCGCCGGCATCGATCTTGGCACGATGCTGTGGCGGCTTGCCAACGATCAGCCCAATGCGCCCGCCGCGGCAACGCCTGGGACGGCGTGGATGTATCTGGCCCGCGATGCCGTCGCGGCCACCAGCCTGATGGCCCGCAGGGACATCGGCCTTGGCGGCTGTTTGCGGTCGTTCGGACGGGTCCGGGCCTGCGCCACCTTTGCCCGCAACGATCCCAGGCCGGGCCTGATCGATCTGCCGCTGACAGGCGGGCGGGTCCTGACCAGGCGAATCCTCAAAGCCGGTCACCAAACCTGACGAAGGGAGCTTGCGGACAAATGGCAGCGCGTGCAACAGCCAAGCGTTACCTGAAATACGGCATCATCCGCGCCGGGCTGGAAGCCGTCGCCCTGCCTGGTGTCCGGTCGCTGTTTCCATCCGCCGCCGGCCGTGGCGTGATCTTCACGCTTCATCACGTCCGCCCTGAACAGGAGACCACCAGGTTCTCGCCCAACGCACTTTTGTCCGTAACGCCTGAATTTCTCGAGCAGGCCGTCGAGGCCGCGCTCGAAAGCGGGTTGACGCCGGTTCACCTGCACGACCTGCCGGCATTGCTCGCCGAGCCCGGCGACCAGCGCTGCTTCGTCGCGTTCACGCTCGATGACGGCTACCGCAACAATGCCGAGTTCGCGGCACCTGTCTTCCGCAGGCACGGCGTACCCTACACGATCTTCATCAATCCCGGCTTCGTCGAACGTACACGCTCCATATGGTGGGAGACCGCCGCCGCCATCGCCCGCAAGGCCGACAGGATCGACTTCGATTTCGGCGACGGGCCGGAAACCCTCCGGGCCACAACGACGGCCCGCAAGTTCGCTGCCTTCGAACGCTTTGCAGCCTTCGTCCAGTCGATCGACGAGGACGAAGCGGTGCAAAGGATCGATGACGTCGCGCGCCAGGTTCACAATATCGACCCGATGGCCATCGTCGATTCGCTTGTCATGGATGAGGAGGAACTGCGCCGACTGGCCGAAGATCGGTTGGTGCATCTGGGCGCGCACACCATGACCCATGTCAATCTGCGCCGCGTCAGCGACGAACGGCTGAACGCCGAGATCGAACAATCGAGGGCTGCCGTCGAAGCCTATGCGGGCCGCCGGCCACAGTCGTTTGCCTATCCCTATGGCTGGACCAAAGCGGTCGGCGCGCGCGAGGTGAAGGCAGTGGCCGATGCCGGTTTCGCCGCCGCCGTGACCACACAGCCCGGCGTGCTGAATGCCGCATGCCTCCAAAACCCGACTGCGATGCCGCGCGTCTCGCTGAACGGCCACTTTCAGAAGAAGCGCTATGTCGAGGCGCTGCTGTCGGGTGTGCCCTTCAAGCTGATGTGACGGCGCTGGCTGCCGCAAACCGTCCCGCGTCGGCGCGGGTCCGGCCTTACCGCGCAAGCACCAGCGTTGCGGCGAGCCCGCCCGCGCCGGCGATCGCGGCAAGGCCCTTGCCGGCCTCGGGCCGAACCAGCATTTCATGGTAGAGCCGCACCGCGTTGATCGCGCCCGATGCGCCGACCGGATGACCCCGCGCAAGCGCGCCGCCGCCCAGATTGGTCCGCTCCGGCGCAAAGCCGGCCAGCCGGATGCACGCAATCGCCTGCACGGCGAACGCCTCCATCAGTTCGAACACGTCGAACCCATCCATCGCCAAGGAAAAGCGAGCCAGCGTCTCGCGGACCGCCGCCACAGGCGCCAGTGCCGGCATGGCGGGATCGTCGCCCAGCGACAGGCCGCCGGCGACCCGGATCGCCCGCGGTTTGAGATGCGGATGGGCCGCCAAAAAACCGTCCGAGACGATCGCGCAGACCGCGCCCGCATCGGCTTCGACAGCCGTGGTCGCCGTGGTCAGCCCGTGCGCATCATCGCCGGCCAGGACCGGCAGCCGCGCGCACAGCTTCGGGCCGATCCGCCGGGTGAACGCGTCATGGGCAAGACCGCCGAGCGGCACGCATTCGGCGGCGAGCCTTTCCCGAGCGTCAAGCGCATCGGCATGGCTGCGGCAGGCGAACGCCTCCTGTTCCGCTCGCGTAATTCCCATCTGCCGCGCCAGAAGCGCGGCCGCTTCGAGCATGTCCGGATCGCGCCCGGGCCAGGGCGAAAAGGGCGGCCGCTGATATTCGACATCCGCTTCTCCCGCCGCCGAACGCCGGAAGCGGCGCGGCGCGGCGCTGTAGGATTCGACGCCGCCGGCAAGAACGAATTCGTGCGCGCCCGAGGCGACGAGGCTGTGCGCGAGATGGATCGCGTCCAGCCCGCCGCAGCATTGCGAATCGATGGTCATCGCCGGAACGGTTTCGGGCAGGCCGGCGGCGAGCGCCGACAGCCGGGCCGGATTGCCGCCGCCATAAACGCCGTTTCCGAAAATGACGCAGCCCACAGCATCGGCGGGAAGGCCGAGGTCATCGACAAGGGCCGTGATCGGCGCCGCGCCGATCCGGTGCGCGTCGAGCCCTGCGAACGCGCCGCCGCGCGGGGCGACCGGGGTCCGGCGGGCGCCGGCCATCCACACCGCGCCGCTCACGCAAGCGGCTCCAGCGTTCCGCCGTCGAGCCGTTCGCGCAGCGTGACCAGATCCGGCTTGCCCGAAACGGTCAGCGGCCAGTCGCCGCATTCGAAATAGTGTCCGGGGATCGCATAGGGCGGCAGGCTCTTCTTCAGGCCGCCGACGATCGCCGACCGGCCGGACGCGACCGGCGCCTTGAGCACCGCGACGATGCGATGCTCGCGCACAGGGTCCGGGATGCCGAACACGGCCGCGGCCTCGATGCCCTCCACCGCCGCAAGTGCCGCCTCGATGGTTTCGGGGACGATGTTGCGCCCGCTCGACTGGAACATGCGGTCGATCCGCCCGTCCAGATGCAGGTTGCCCTCTTCGTCCAGCCATCCCGCGTCGCCGACGCCGATCGACGCCTCTGCCGGCTCGAAGCGCCCGTTCCGGACATAGCCGTCGAACGCCATGCCGCTCCGGACGAAAACGCGGCCCCTGGCGCCGGGCGGGCATGGCGCGCCCGCATCGTCGACGACCATCACATCGACGCCGGCAAGCGGCGTGCCGACCAGCGTGGGCGGATCGTTGGCATCGACATGACGCGCGGCGACGTAGCTCAGTTCGGTCGTGCCGTAGAACTCGATGAGGGCCGCGCCGGGAAATGTGTGCCGCGCCTGTCCGGCGACCGCGGAAGGCAGCTTGGAGCCCGTGAGCAGCACGCGCTTGACGCCCGGATGCCGGCGCTCGGCCGCCGCGCAAAGCGCGCTCAACTGGGTGGGCACGGCAAACATGGCGCAATCGCCGAACCGGTCGGCAAGCGCCAACACCCGGTCCGAACGAAAGCGGGGAAAGAGCGCGATGGCGCAGCCGGCCCACAGGCCGCGCACCGCCGCATAGAGAAACAGCGAATGCGCCAGATTGCCCGGAACCAGCACCAGGTCCCGCCCCTCAAGATCGGCGAGCGCGCGGTCGGCCTCGAAACTTCTCAACCAGGAGGTTTCGGTGCGCCGGCAGCCCTTGGGCATGCCCGTGGAGCCGGAGGTGAAGAGGGTGAAGAGCGGTTCGGCCGCATCCTCATCCATCGAGAAGGGCACCTGCGCGTCGGCACCCATCCGGGCGAGCGTTTCGGCGCCGATCGCCCCGGCGGGCGCAGCGTCCATCTGGGCGACGACGGCATCGAGCCCGGTGCTGGCCGTGACTTGGGCGATCGTCGCCTCCGGCCAGGACGGATCGAGCACGAAGGTTTCGCGCGCGGCAATCAGCGAGGCGATGAACAGCGCCAGCGTGTCCGGCGCCGTCTCCATCGCGATCCCGATGCGCCCATGCCGGTCCAGCGACCGCAGCCCGCGCGACAGCCGGTCGATCCTGTCCGCCAGATCGCCGGCGCTGATCGTCCCGGTTCCGAAATGCAGGACCGGCGCGCCGGGGCGCGTGCGCAGATGTTCAAGGATCGACAATGCAATGCGCGACGCCATGACCGCCGATCCCCTCACCGCCGGTCCAGCAAAGTCGTCTGAAAGCCGTCGGCGGCGATCCGGTCGCACAGGTCCGACCATTGGCAATCGGCACAGGCGGCGCGGATCGTCCCATCGCGAAACGCCGCCCGGTGGCGCGCGGTGAAGACATCGTGCGGCATGATCCGCGAGCCGACCGTCAGCATGCGTCCCGTCAGCGCCGATATTGCGGCCAGGGCGGCCCGGTCGCGGGCGACGATCCGCTCCTCATGGCAATGGCTGCCCGCGCAATCCTTTACCGACGCGCATATCGCGTCGGGCCCGCCAACGATGACCATCTCCTCATTGTCGTTCATGCGCGCGATGACGCGCCTGTAATCGCGTTCGAACCGGCGCGAATAGCCCCGCCCGACAAAGGTTACGGCGCACAGCAGATGATGGCCGCGAATTTCGATCATGGGTGAAACCGCACAAATTCGGCAACGTCCTGACGGCGCAGCGGCTGCCGGTTGACCGGATGGGTCTCGTCGGCATGGCCGACGGCGACGCCGCAGACGACCAGCGCATCGCGCTCAAGGCCCAGCACCCGCCGCACCGCATCGCCATGGCTCGAAAAGCTGGCCTGCAGGCAGCATCCGAGCCCCTGGCTGACGATCGCCAGCGACAGCGCGTTGAGGAACAGGCCGACATCGATCCAGCTTCCGCGCTCCAGCCGCGCATCGATCGTCACCAGAAGGCCGGCTGGCGCGCCGAAAAAATCGAAATTCTTCAGCTTCTGTTCGCGGCGCGCGGCCACGTCCCGGCGGCCGATCCCCAGCGCCTCGTAAAGATCGTGGCCCGCCTGCCGGATGCGGTCGCCATAGGGCGCGACGGGTCGTGCCGGATAGTAGCGGTAATCGCCTGTCTCGACGTAGTCGGGCTCGGCGAGCGCCGTCCGGATCGCATCGCCCAACTCGCCGATCGTTTGCCGGCCGAGCACATGGACATTCCATGGCTGCATGTTGCCGCCGCTCGGCGCGTGGCGTGCCATGTCAAGGATGGCTTCGATCTGCGCGCGGCTGACATCGGTGTCGAGATAGGCGCGCACCGACCGGCGCTTGCGGACCAGATCGGCGAACTGCCCGGCGTCCGCTTCGGTCGCGTCGTCACCGGACATGGCGGCCATCCGGCATTGCCGGTCCGTCGGCGGGGCCAGGCGAGCGCGCCACGATGGCCCGCGCGATCTCGTCGGCCGACTTGAGCGCCCGGACGATGGTCGGCGTGACCAGCGCCCGCCAGTTCGTCCCCAGCCCCCGCGCCCTTTGCGCATTCTTCACCTCATCGAAGATGTCGCGGACCCTCGGGATGAAGCGCAGGCACAAAGACAGGGCGAGGCTGATCGCTTCGGCCGATCTTTGCGGAAGAAATTGGCTCAAGGCGCCTTCGATGGCCTCGACCAGATCGCTCGTCCGCGTGGTCAGCGTCAAAAGCGACGCGGCGAGGATCATCACGGCAAAGCGCAGCACGACGAAGCCGGCGAAACGCCAGTCGGCGAGAAAGAGCTGCGCCAGGAAGATCAGGCCAAGCACCCACAGGGCCGGACGGACGGCGGCAAAAACCATCCTCGGCGGAATGCGCGCGACAGCAAGGAGCGCCGCCAGTGCCATCCCGGCGACGCTCAGCGACAGCCAGCCCTCCTGCAAGAAAAGCCATGTACAGAAGACGAACAGCAGGCCGACCTTGATCAGCGGCCGGGCGCGATGAACGGCGCTGTCTCCGGGGACGTAATCGCTTGTCAGCATGGTTCGGTCGCTATCGCCTCCCGGTAGGCGCGCACAATGTCGCCGGCATCGCCGTCGCCGCGAATCCGTCTCTCGTCAATCCAGATGAGACGGTCCATCGACGCCATCAGCTCCAGATCGTGGCTCACCACAATCAGCTTCTGGTCGAGCCTGTCCAGAAACGAGACCAGTATGCGCCGGTTGCGCAGGTCGAGCAATGTGGTCGGCTCGTCCAGCACGATGATCGCCGGCTCCATCACCAGAACGCCGATCAGCGCGATGAGCTGCTTTTCGCCGCCGCTCAGTTCGTGGGTGCGCCGCCCGTTCAGGTGGGTCAGGCCGAACCGCTCGAGATGGCGCCGCACACGTTCACGGATCTCGAACTTCGACAGGCCGGATTTTCGAAGACCGAACGCCAGATCCTCATCGACCAGCGGCATGACGATCTGGTTGTCGGGATTCTGGAAAACGAAGCCCACCTTGCCCAGCGGCGATTTCCGGTCCGTCGGCTGCCCGTCGACCCGGACTGTGCCTGTGGTCGGCCGTTCCAGCCCGTTGAGCAGCCGCGCGAACGTGCTCTTGCCGGATCCGTTCGCCCCGATAATGCCGATCCGCCGTTCGGTGAGCGTCACCGAG